TTGTTCCTGTGGGGGCGGGCAGGGGGCAGGGGAGGGAGGGGAGGGAGGCAGGGTGAGCAGGGCGCTGCAGGCAGGTGCCGGGAAGGTGCGCGCCAGCTGGCCGGCCCGGGCTGCCGCGCCAGCTGGCATGCCGGCCGGCCGCGGCGGAAGCTGCCGGAGGCCGCGCGCCCAGCTGCCGTCCACGCCAGCTGGCGGGCGGCGCACCTGTCTGCCTGCGGCGCGGTGGTTCCCTCGATCAGGTGGTCGCAGTGGATAGTGGAGGGCACGGCGGTCTGGGGCAGGCCCGAGGCGATGAACTGCAGCACCGCCATCTGGGCGGTGGCGTCCTGCATCGCCACGCGGTCTGCGGGGAGGGCCAGAGGGGGCGTGCGGGCGGCCAGGTGAGCAGGGAGGCCGGCGGGAGGGTGGCAGGCTGTGTGCGAGCCGAGCAGGCCGCATGCCACGCATGCACCGTGTGCATAGCCACACATGCACCCCGGGCCGCGTGCGGCCCAAGCCGCGTGCCGCGGCGCCCCATCCCCTGCCGATCTTCAGTGCACGGCTGGGGGAGGCGGCTGTGCTGCGGTGTTTGCCGTGGCTGCGCCTGCGCCACCCAATCCCGCCCACATGCACCGCCGCACGCACCGGGGCGCAGGTTGAGGTACGACACGCCGCGCTTGATCTCCTGCCCCTCTGGGTCGTCCAGGTGGCCGTACACCACCTGCGCACGCCCCACACACATGACGCCACGCATGCGTGCTCAGCGTGCCGGCAGCCGGAGCACAGCAGAAGGGCCCTGCCACGTGCAGCGCAGCTTGCCCCCGCCAGCAGCTGGAAAGGCAGGGGGGAAGGCCCGCTGGCGGCCACCTATGCCCCGCCACTTCACTTGGCCAGCCACCACCCCACTCCCACCTTCTCCGCAAAGGTCAGAGGCCTGTTCAGGCGCTTGCGGACGACCTGCAGCGGGCGGCGGCGGTGGCAGATTACTACGTCGGCGCCGGCAGCGGCGGCGGTGCACTGGCGGCGGCAGGGGCACACTGCGGACCTGTAGGCGGTCCTCGATCGCCTGGTAGCGGTCATTGATGTATTGGTCGGGCTCGATGCGGCTCATCGGGGCCTGGAAGGGGCATTGGACAGGGTTTAGGCATACTCTTGGGGCGCCTCCCGTGGCCCCTGGAGCCCACACCCCGCCCCTCACCTTGTCCAGCCCCGCGATGCTCGCAAAGCCGGCATCGTTGGCGACCTTACTGCGCAGCAGGCGGCCGCGCGCCTGCACAGCAAAACCCCAAGCCAGGGCGGTTGGCGCCTGCTGTGGAGGCCTGGTAATGAGGCAGATCATCGGGGAGCCGCTCACCTGCGCTAGGCCGCTCCTCCTGACTGCCTGCATGAGATGCCCCGAGCTGGGAGGGCTTTGTTGCAAGGGCTTCACTCTGACCTGGCTGGGGATCAACCCGTGACCAGGAGGACAGAATAACGGGCGTGGGGCGCGGGGGAGGCAGCCCTATATGCGCTGTGAAATGGCGTGCCAGCTGGCGTGCTGAGCCTTCTCGCACCGGGGGGCCACGGCGATCGCAGCTGAACCCGGCGCTTTGTGGGTGTGCGGCAGCAGGCGCCCCTCCTCGCCCAGCACCCCCACCCCCATCGCCGCCCCGAGCCCCGGCCTATCGGCAGCGGCAGGACGCAGGACAGCAGCGCAGCATTGTAGGGGGCTGCACGCGGAGCCTTGCACGCCTCTGGGCAGCACAGGGCACCATGACCCGGCTGGCCGGCCTGGCGCAGCAGCTGCGCGGGGCGCTGGCGGCCCAGCAAGGCTCGGCAGGCAAGTGGGAGCGCGCCAGGGGGGCGCCTGGGATCGCACGGACAGGAGCAGCGGGGGTTGCGGTGGGTCCAGCGGGGCGTCACGAGGCGCCTGCGGCCAGCACCTCGACAGCGTGCCCCGTGTGTCCTGCCGCCTGCCTGCCCGTTGCCTGCAATGAAGCCCGCGTCTCCTCACACGTGCTCCGCCACGCCCCACCGCCCGCCGCAGCGCTGGGAGCGGCTGCGGGCGCCGCCACCTCGGCGCTGCACGCCCAGCGCGCCGCCTACTCCTCTGACATCGCCATCCGCGGCATCGACGCCCTGAAGAGCGGCCCCGGCGGGCGCTCCAGCGTCAGCGGCATCACCGCCACCATCTTTGGCTGCTCCGGCTTCCTAGGGCGCTACGTGGCCAACGCCATTGGCAACACCGGCGGCCAGCTGGTGCTGCCGCACCGCTGCGACGACACCGACGTGCAGCACCTGCGCACGATGGGGGACCTGGGGCAGGTGGTCATGATGCCAGACTTCAGGTGGGGGGCTGGCAGTGGGGGGAAAGGTGGGGGGCCAGGTGCCGCGGGCGTCACGACGCGGGCAGGCAGCACCAGGTCGCCGAGGGCGTCGCGCCCCACCACACCCGCCCGCTGCCCACCTGCCCTCCCTCCCGGCCGCCCTCCCCGCAGCATCCGCGACGAGGAGGCGGTGCGTCGCGCCATCTCCCGCTCCAACCTGGTGGTCAACATGGTAGGTGCGGGGCAGGAGACGTGGAACTACGGGTTTGAGGAGGTGCACATCGAGTGGCCCGCACGCCTGGCGCGCGCCATCCGCGACAGCGGCAAGGTGGAGCGCTTCATCCACTTGAGGTGCGGGGCGGGGAGGCGGCTGGGGGCGCCTGGCAGTGGCGGCCTGTTTGGGAGGCGTGCAGGCAGGCTGGCAGGGGCGAGGCCACTAAGCCGGCGACCGGCTGGAGCCGAGCTGCCGGTGCCGCCACCACCGCCACGCCTCCCTCTGCCTCTTGCGGCGGCGCATCCACCTGCCGCGCCGCGCCGTGCCGCCCCCTGCCGCCCCTTGCAGCGCGCTGGGCGCGGAGGCGGACGCCCCCTCCCGCCGCCTGCGCACCAAGGCTGCCGGCGACGAGGTCGTGCGCTCCGAGCTGGGCCCCATCTCCACCATCTTCAAGCCCGCGGCGGTCAGCGGCACCGAGGACCGCCTGTTCAACATGTTTGCCACCATGGCCAAGCGCACGCCCTTCCTGCCTCTCATCGATGGCGGCAAGACGCGCATGCAGCCGGTGTGGGTGCGAGACGTGGCGGCAGGTGGGGACGGCGCCGCGCGCGGGCTGGGCTGCGGCGGGGGCGCTGCGGGCATGGCCCTGTGCAGGGCATTGCGTGGCCCTCGCCTCCACCCTCCGTTGCGACAAGAAGGAGCTCCACCTCATTCACCTGCCTGCCTGCCTGCCCGCTGCCCGCAGCCATCATGAACAGCCTGAAGACGTACGACTCGCTGGGTCAGACCTACTACCTGGCGGGGCCCGACGTCATGACGGTGGCGCAGCTGGTGAGGGCCCGCCCGGCCCGGCCCGGCCCGCAGCTGGCCGGGCTGGCTGGCTGGCTGGCTGCTGATTTGCTGGCTCCCCGCCACGGGCGACGCACGCCTTGGCAGCGGCTCCCGCCTTGTGGCTGACCCCCCACCTGCGCCGCCCCGGCAGGTGGCCTTCACTTACCACACCATCCGCGAGAGGAACGCGTCGGTGCCCATGCCGGCCGCTGTGGCCGGCGTGCTGGCCAAGGGCTGGGACGCGCTGGGGCGCAGCACCCCGCTGCGCGGCCCCCTCATGTTCTCCTCGGACTTCATCGCGGAGATGAAGGGTGGGTGGGTGGGTGGGTGGGTGGGGGTGGGAGGGAGGGAGGGAGGCCTGGGCTGGGCTGAGGCAGGCCGCAGGCTGCGGATCCCTGCATCACGTCGTGCTCTGCCCCGCCCTGCCTGCTGCGCCTGGGCCCTGGGCGCGCCTGGCGTGTGCGGCACTGCGCCGCGAGCCCTGCACCCCCTGCCCTCCCTCCTCCCCTCACCCCTGTACCTGGCTCCCCACCCCACTCGCCCCGCGGTGCAGGGCGACTATGTGATGCCCAGCGGCGTGCTGGGCTTTGAGCACCTGGATGTGGAGCCGCACCGCGTGGCGGAGGGCATCCCTATCGAGTACCTGCGCCACTACCGCTCCGGGGGCTACGACTTTGGCAGCCTGGCGGAGGAGGGGGAGCCCGTGGGGGGCGCCGGCTTTGGCCACCCTGGCGGCGTGCGCGGCCCCGCCGCGTGAGCGCCATGAGCACTTGCTCCTTGTGCTGCCCCTATCCTTGTGCTTTTGTTTTCCGCTCACCGCGCCTTTGTTGGTCCTGAGGACGGCGGGCGCTGTAACAGTCAACTGACTATTGCTTGCGGAACTGCTGTAAGCGCCGCCTGCGGTACAGCCGACGCGGTACTCAGCCTGCGCTTCTGGCAGATGCGAGGGTGTCATACTCTTCATCTTCCGCGTCTTCCGTCAGTTCAACACCTCCTGCGATTGTGTCTGCATTTCTGCGTCCACCCCAGGCGCCAATGTGTTTTCGACATTACTGAATAGTCACGCCAGGAAATCTCGAAATTGCGTTGCAGTTGGAACGCGTGATGGCTGCCTGGACCCGCAGCCACCAGCCGCTTCTTCGCTTGTTGCAACAGTAGGCGCAGCCGCCGGCGCTGCAGGGCGGTTTTGCGGGTGTGACAGGCATGTGGACCCAGCTGCCCATGTCAGCTGCTGGCTAGCACATGTCTCCGCAGAGCTCTGGCACTCCTGGGCAGGCACGGCGGCGTGGGCCCACCCTCCGCAGCTCCCTGTTCCTGCCGCCGCTGCTGCTCACCGCTCTGGTGGCTGTGGGCGGCTTGGACCTGGTGTTGGTGCGGCTGCGGCAGCAGGACAGCGCAGCCATGCGGCAGCAGGAGCTGGCAGCAGAGGAGGCGATTGCGGGACTGCAGCAGCAGCTGGCGACGGCAAAGCGCAGCTGGCGGCGGCACAGGCAGCGGCCGCCTCGCTCAAGCAGCAGGCGGGGGGGGCAGGGGGCAGCCCGGAGGACGCCGCTGCTGCTGTGGGGCTGCGCCGGGTGCCGCTGCCGCTGGGCGCTGCGGCTGCCCGCTGGGACCCGCTGGTGCTACCGGCCTGTATCCCCGGCATGGAGCCTCACCACGCCCCCTGCCTGGTGGGCCGCCCTGCCAACCCCCGGGTGGTGTATGGCGAGGAGGTTGTGTACCCTGCCTTCAGGTGCGGCAGGCCGGCAGCGCATTCGCTGGCATGGGAGCGTGCCTGCACCACGCCACAGCGCCGCGCCCGCCCTGCCGCGCCTGCAGCATCGCGGAGCCGCGGTTCCTGGCTGAGGGGCATGTGGCCCGGTGGCGGCGCAGTGCTACGCCCCCAACCGCTTCCACCTGGCCGATGGGCGCGCCTACTACCCCGCCCAGCACGCCCAGCTCCTGGTCCTCACAAACGTGTCCTTCCTGTGAGCGCCCGCAGGCCTGCTCGCCCGCCATGAGGGGCAGGCGGGGAGGGCAGCCTTGCGCGGTTTGCGCGGTTTGGCAGGCCGGGGAGGAGAAGGGGCGGAGGTGGCCACCCCAGCTGCCTGCTGACCCGCCGGCTGGCTGTGCCCGCACACCTGCCTGCAGCAACGACCCGCCCAGCGATCGGTGGGGCGATGGCAGTTGCATGGGGGGCCGGGTGTCGCACCGCGGCCTGACACCGCTGCCGCCGGGGCAGCCTGCGGAGTGGAAGGGGCGGGCTGTGCTCATCAACCCGCCAGACGCATGGAGCCTGCAGGTGGGGGCGCAGCAGCGAGGGGCCCGCTGGCCTGGCGGCAGCCTGTGCACGCACAGTAGCAGCTGCCGCCTGCGCTTGGGCTGCGCCTCCACCGACTTCACCCTCGCTGCCCTGCCCCCGCCCTGCAGCACTTTGTCGACCACGCCCTCCCGCTGCTCATGCACACAGAGGCGTGGAGGCAGCAGGGCACGCGGATCATCACCGGCGCGGAGGGCGTGCGCCACGTCATGGCGCTGTGGAAGGGTCTGGTGAAGAGCGCGGGGCAGCAGGTCTGGCGCTGCGGGCAGGCAGGGGCTGCTGCCAGCCGCTGCGGCCTGAGGGAGGTGGTGCAGCGCTTGGTTGAGCGGCCGTGAAGTTGCCCCAGCCTGAGCCGCGCTGCTCCCACCTCCCGCCACCGCAGGTGCTGCATGCCCCTGGCAACACCAGCGCCCAAGAGCTGGTGTTCCCATGCCGCTGCCCCACCATCCACCCATACTTCCACGCCAGGTTCTCCGAGCTGGTGCAGCCTGCCGTGCCAGCGCCGGCGCCGCTAGAGGACAGGAAGGTGGGCATGGGTGGCAGTCCACAGCGTGGGGCTGGGCACAGCTTGGCAGCCCCTTGGGTGCGTGCTGGGGCCTGGTGCACCCACCCAACAACCTCACCCGGCACAATCGCCGCTGCAGGTGGTGCTCTACCTGACCCGCAACAGCAATGCCACCGTGGCCAGTGGCGGGCGCAGGGTGAGGCGGCAGCGGCGGCGCGGCTCGTTGTGACGTTTTGGAAAGGCAGCAGCCGAGCAGCACAGCCTGCGCGCCCATGCCTGCTGCGCCTGCTGTGCAGGTGACCAACGAGGAGGCTGTGCTGGGGGCCATCCGGGAGGTGCTGCGTGAGCGGGGCAGGGGCGAGCAGCTGCTCCTCTTCGATCCGGTGAGCAGCGCCGCAGCCCGGAGAGCAGCGCCGCAGCCCGGGCGCTCCGCCCGCCTGCTGCGCGGCAGGCGCCGACCTCTGCACTGATGCTGCGCTGTGCCGGCCTGTCCACTGCCATGCGCCGCGCTGCCCCTCTTCACCACTGCAGCTCGACTATCCCGACATCGTCTTGCTGGCGTCCCTCATGGCGCTCAATGTGTCGGCCGTGGTGGGCCCGCATGGCGGCGCCTGGTTCAACACCATGTGGGTGCTGACCTGGGTGCCCACAGCCTGTCTGCCTGCCAAGCACCGCCTGGTGGCTGCCCTTTCCTGACAGCCGTGCCGCGTGCCCTTGCAGGTGGTGCGCCCCCGGCACTTTCTTCCTGGAGTTCCTGCCCATGCAGCGCTTTGGCACCGTGATTTGGGAGCGGGTGAGCCGCCTGCAACCCATGCGCATACAGCTGCTGGGTGCCACCTTGCCCCTCGTGCCCATGGCGCGCTAGCAAGTGCACCATTTCCCCCGCTGTGCAGCTGGGCATGGCAGGGCAGCAGCACTGGGTGCTACCCGTGGAGACGGAGGCGCCGCTGCACGACATGCTGGTGGACCCAGCGCAGGTGGCAGGAGCGGTGCGCCAGCAGCTCGGCCGGCCGCAGCCGCCGGAGTTGCACCCCTACTATGCTTACGACCTGGCGCAGCTGATGAGGAAAGCGTGACCGCAATGTGTATGTGCTCTTGTCGGGCGGCGGCTGGGTTGTCGGCGCCGCTGCCACGACAGCAGCAGACATGCACGTGTCCCAGGCTGTAATGGTGTAATTTGGGCACCCAGTTGTTGAGTGCTACTTAGATTAAGAAGGGAGGGAGGCATGTGCAGCTCTTCTCAAGCGGCTTGCACCCTACCAATGAGCAGCATCATGTCGTGCTGGTGATCCCCTGATGATCAAAGAGGAATTTGTGAGCTGCACTAGAGTCGCCGCACCCTTTCTGACTGGCCTCCGCCACTCCAGAGCGATCCCATTCACACCTTACACGCCGTTGGCAGCAGGAAATCGGCCTAAATAGGTTGCTGGCTAGGCTGAGCGTGCACGTTGCCGTGCTAAGGTTGACGCCGCCGGCGCACCCACGCTGCTGCGGCAGCCCCGTCATGGCAAGATCGATGCTGCACATCGTCGCAGCGCTTGTGTTGTTGCTGGGCTTTGCGGCGTTACTGGCGTGGCAGTGGCCCCAAATGGATACAGCGGTGACAGCCGACAGCGCGACAGCTAGGCAAGAGGCAGCAGTGGTGGTGCCAAAGGCGACTGCGGGAGGCGAGGAGGCACGCGCAACTGAGGAAGAGGCAGCAGTGGCAGTGCCACAGGCGATTGCGGGAGGGGAGGAGGCACGCGCCTGGCTGAAACATTACTACTCGCACGGGCTGCGCGGCCCGCAGGATGACTGGCCTGCGGCAGTCGGGCGGCCCAACTGCGAGGCGCCACGCAGCCGGCTTGGCATGTGGCTGAGGAGGCGGCGGCAGCGCCGCAATCTGTTGCTGGCCACCGTGAGCGATGGGTGGGGCCCCGGCGAGGCCCACAACAGGTGGCTGGACGATCCCGCTGCCGCCAACTTTGACTTGGTCGTGGTCTACTTTGGCGCCAACGACAGCTTCACCTGCTCAGAGTGCCTCCACGTCTTCCGTGGTCAGGGCCCAAAGTGAGACCATCGTGGCGCCACCGCCGAAGCTCCCCAACCTGCGCCCGCCATGCCCCGCACCTGCCCCCCCATCTCCCGCTCTCATGCTGCTGCTGCCACAGGTGGCAGATCCTGCACCATCTCATGTTCAGCCCCGAGTGGGCCGAGGTGACGGCAGGCAGGGGGTACCGCTACGTGTGGCTGCCAGACGACGACATCATCGCCTCCACCTGCACCATCTCACACTTCTTCCAGCTCCTGCAATCCAGCCAGCTGATACTGGCACAGGTGGGCATCTGGTTGAGGTGCAGGCATCAACACGAACACCGCTGCCGGCCCCACAGGCACAGTCCGATATGCCTCCCCTGCCCCGCCCGCAGATGTCGATATGCCGGGCGGATGGCAGCAGCGTGCTGTGGCCGCACCTGTACCAGCGCCCCGACAGCGGCCTGCGGTACACAGCCTTTGTGGAGCTCATGGGCGTGGCCATGAGATACGACTTCTTCCAGGCTGGTGCGCCAAGCCCTGCGCTGCAGAGCGGCATGTGCTGATGGGCATCACGCCGAGCACCATGCTGAGGGATGGGACCGCGGCCGCCAACCCGCCCCTGCCTGACCCCCCTCGCCTGCTGCAGTGTTCCCCGCCACCATTGCCGACTCTTTCACCGGCTGGGGACTGGACGTGCGTGCTGCGCTGTGCAGGCTGCTGGCCTGCTGCTCCTTGGCGAGCCGCGGGGCCCCCAGCTCGCCGCCATCTGTGCCCTGGCAGCTTCTTGAGGCGTCCTGCTTGCATGCATGCAGACGTTGTGGCCCTTCCTCTTGCGCTTCCCTCGTGACCGCATTGCGGTGGTGGACGCCGTGTGCATGGTGCGCAGAGACAGCGGGGGGGGCCAGCACACGGGGGCTTCCCACGCATCAGGCGACTGCAGATGCCCAGTCCTGAGGGGCTTTCGTCTCCTGGCGCCGCAGGAGCACTATGGCAGCGCGGGTCCAGGCAGGAGCTCCAAGGGGGGTGCATCCATCTATTCCCAGGCCTCTCCATACGCGGTGGGAGCCTACCCCGCCACTCAGCTGCGTGGTCGCCTGCACGCTGCTGGCAGGCAGGCTTGTAGGTATGACTACACATTATGTGCTGATGGCCTGCTGTGCTGGGCTGCGCTGCAGAACCCGTGGGACGAGGACTACTCGCTCCGGCGCCGCTGGAACGTCACCGACGAAGGCATGGCTGGGATGGGCGTCCCGACAGACATCGGTGGCAGGTGCGCTGGGTGGGGGCATTTTTGTTTTGTTTTTCGCGAGCGCGGGGCAGGCGCCAGCAGAGCAGGCGCCTAGGGCAGGTGTGCCTTTGCAGGTGCATGAGGTGCCTACCATTTGCTGTGCCTGCTGTGCTGCAGGGGCACCCTGGAGTTCCACTCTGTGCCGCTGCCGCCCCGCACCACGCCTGGCCCTGCCAACTCCTCAGCTGTCCACATGGTTGCGACGCCGCTGCTGGCAGCGGCGCAGGCGAGCAAGCTGGTCACGGCGATGCTGGGAGCCGGGGCCATCGTGTGTGTGGCGAGCGGGGTGGCGGCAGCCAGGGTTGTGCGCCGCCGCGGGCGGAGTGGGACGCACGTGCGCGGCAGCCCCCATGGTCCAACTGCTCGGACTGCTGGCAGGGTTTAACAACATTTGATGTAGCACCGGGGGTGGTGCATAGTCTTGTCAACAACGCTGGACGCCGATTCCAGCGCCTGCGCCGGCGCCTTGCTGGGGCCAGGCGCCATGTTAGTAGCAGCATCATAAGAGGTCATTAGGTGATCATGGCATGCGTTCAGCAGCCTTGTGACCGCCGTTTTGGACGTCTCAAGACGCGTACCTCACCTGTACTGCCACTGGGTCCAACACAGGCAACACGGGTTGTGCCGCTATCCGTGTTTCTTAGTTACAATCTAGACGACAGGCCGGAGCCAGGGATACGTAGTGTACTCTGCGATAGCACAGCTTCATCAACACATCAGTAACCCCAGCGCACACAGGCAGGCCTGCAAAACTAAACCCAGAGCGAGTTGAGCAGCGCCCGCCGCGCGACATTGGATCGGTGACTGCCTTGGCTGCGCGCGGCCAACAACGATTGCGTGCATTCGTTTCATCCTCGGGAAGCGGTCGATGCCTGCACCCGTTGATGCCTGCACCTGGCCTGCTGCAGAGGCGCCATGAAAGTAAAGGATCAGGCGCAGCCCGATGGAGGCTGCAGCATCGGTGGTGCCCGCCCTCCTGCAGCGGCCGGCGCGGCTGGCGGCGAAGGTGCCTCCCCGATTACCGCCAGCCCCTCCATTCAGGCCGCCGCAAGCATTGTGGCGGCATCGCCCCCGCGAGTGTTTTACAGCAACCTATTGGACGACCTGGGCACGAACGACTCGTTTGTGATCGATGGCGACGGCCTGCTGCTGGAGCTGCTCACCGCCGTGCGCATCGACTGGGCGCACCTCGGGCAGTACCTGCAGCTGACGGCGGCCGCCGAGCAGCTGGTGGCCAGCATCCAGCAGGCCAACACCGCGCGCCTGCACTGGGACGTCGTATTCTTCGATGCCAGTGCAGAGGCGCAGCCCGACGCTGCGGCGCGGCTGGCAAGAGAGGTGCTGATGCGCTGGCTGCCCGAGCACCTGGGCGTGCCGGTGCTGCGATTCGACTCCTGGTGGAGCGCTGGCTGGCAGTGCTGGCTGGAGGAGGCCCAGCCGGCCCTGCTGCTACTGACAGATCTGCCCGGCACCGGCGGCCCGGCAGCAGACGAGTGCGGCACTGCAGACACAGAAATCAGCCCACAGTTGTATATGCAGGCAATGCTGCAGTTCAGCGCAGGGCAGGGCCTGCAGTGCGCCCTGCTCTCAGCAATCCGATTTTCGGAGCAGTTTGTGTTTGCGTTCCGCACCATGTGGCGTGGCAGCCGCCGCCTGGCCGGCCCCGAGAAAGCAATAATGGATGCAGCGCGCGCAGTTGGCAGCGCCTTTGCCCAGCAGCCCACCAGCATGCCTGCAGAGCGACAGTTCGGCAGCTTTGCCATCGACCTGGCCCGCCTCACCGCCCCGCACACACCGCCCTCTGTGATGGATGCTCTGGCAGGCGCAGCGCCAGGTGGGCAGCAGCGCTGTGTTGCCGCATGGCCTTGATCGCCTCCCCGCACAACCCTGCAGCAGCTCAGTCCATGACCCGGCCCTCACACTCACTCCTGCTGCCCCTTACGCCGCCCCGCTGCTGCCTGCGTGCAGGCGCACTGCGGGCCGAGCTGGGCGCTGCATCCTGCGGCGCGCTGCTGGCCCTGGCCTCCCGTGCCCCGCCCCAAATGCTGGAGCTGTTCACCACCGCGTGGTGCGTGCACGAGGTGTGGTGCCGGCAGCTGGAGCTGTCGCAGCGTGCCCTGCACCTGTGGCGGCCCGCTGCCAGCACCTGGGCAGAGGTGCAGGCGCAGCTGCAGCACTTCACGGCCAGCCTGCACGCGGTCGCCGTGCTGCTCAGGGCAGCCAGCGGAGCCGCTGCCGGCGGCGCGCGCGGCGCCCTGGATGCCAGCATGGCCGACTGGCTGGATGGCCGCCTCCTGCACCTGGTGGCGGCGGTGCTGTGGGAGCGCCGCAGCCTGAACCTGAGCGCCGCCGGCCAGGCACAGCTTGCTGGCCTGCAGAAGGCCGTTAAGCTCTCTGCCGCCGCCTTTGCCGGCAGCCTGGCAGGGCCCAGGCCAGGCTTGACCGACGTCGCCGGCAGCCAGCTGGCCACACCTGCCCCCGAGCGCCCCCCAGGGCCCCCCCCCGCTGGCATCAGCCCCGCGGGACCGGCCGCCACAGATCATGTGGCGCTGCTGCCCGTCAGCAATGGGCTGGTTGAGGCGGTGATGGCCGGCAGCAGCGCGCTGGCGGTATACGACGTGGGTGGCACCCAGGCGCAGCAGGCGCAACGCACCACCACCACCTATCTCGGCAATTTTCATTACCACACGGGTGATTTCGGCCGAGTCCCCCGATGGCCAGCCCCTGCTTAGCATCCCACACGCATGCCCTGCCCCGCCCTGCCTGCACCAACTGGCGCCCTGGCTGTTGCCCCTGCAGGTCAGCCGCTGCTCCCATCCGACCTGGTGCCTGCGGAGCGGGAGGATGCCCGGTTCGACCTTTCTGGGCTGAGCCTGGAGCAGGTTGCGTTGTCCCCCGATGCCCCATATTTCATCAGGCGCGCAAAACCCGCTGCCCTTGCCTGGCAGCCTGCGGCGGTGCAGCATCGCGGGTGCAGGCCGCGTGGCGCTCGCAACCCTGCCCTGCTGCAGAGCGGTGCTGCCACCCCGTCCTAGCGCCTGCTGGCCCTCCTGCCACCCGCCCTCCTGTGCTGCCCCTGCCTGCTCCCACCTGCAGGCGCTGGGCTGAGTCCCTGCTGAGGCAGGTGCAGGTGCTGGAGCGGCAGGGGATGTGGAGGGAGGCAGAGGAGCGCAGCGTGCAGGGCAAGAGGCAGATGCAGAAGAAGCTGCTCAACAGGGCCAGGGAGGAGCAGCTGTTCTACCGCCACTTGACGATGTGAGCGGCGTTTTAAAGGCCAGCAGCTCACCGCTGCGCATGCTGTGCTGCGACATGCATGCCAAGCTGGCGCTCCTCCTTTCCCCGGTGGGGCTTTTGGCGGCCCCCTTCTTCTTTCATGGACGGCTGCTGCCTGTGGCCTGCAGGTATGCCAAGAGCCTGGATGCATCCAAATTCTTGAGGCCCTCCGCCCCAAGGGTGGCCGGCGGTGGCGGCGCCTGCGGGCAGCAAGGTGAGCCATCTGTGCATCTGTGCGAGCCGCTGCTGCCCAGCTGCATCCGCCCTGGCCTCCCGACCGCCGGCGCCGCTCCCCCGACCCAGCCGCTGGTGGCATGCCGCGCCTTCGTTGCAGCCGCAGCCAGCAGAGATCGCGGCGCAGGCGGCGGTCGCGGCAAGAAGGCGGCAGGCCCGAGCAAGGCCGACGAGATCCGTGCCAGGAACTTGGTGAGCCGCCGCCGTCTGGCCGACCTCTGCACGCCTCCCCTGCTGCGTGCGGTGTGGCGAGCACCTGACGCCCTGCCGCCGGACGGCCTGCCGCGGTGCAGGCGAAGAAGGCGGAGAAGGGCGGCACCGCAGCCGACGCGCGCTGGAGTGCGCTGAAGCAGCGCCTGGCTCCCCGCGGCGCCGTGCCAGAGTGGACGCCCCAGCTGGCCGCGCAGGTGCGCTCCGCCGCCCCCACGGTGCTGCACGGTGCCGCACACCGACAGGCAGGCCACAGACCGCTCCCGCATCTGCGCCGGCCTGACCCCTGAGCGGCTGCACCCCCCAACCACTGCTCGAGTGTGTTGTTGCCGACACCATCAGCCTTCCCAGAGTGCTGCTGACGCCGGTGCCGCCCCCCCGCCTTCCCACCCCCCGCTGGGCGACACAGGTGGACGCGTTCCTGGGCGCCGCTGCCGGCACGGCGCCGACCGTCTTCCTGCAGGCAGCCACTTGGAAGCTGGGCGTGCTGAGCGCAGCCCACAAGGCCGCCCGCAGCCAGGCGCAGCGCGCCGGCGGCGGCAGCCTGGCATTCCCGGCTTCAGCCCCCAGCCTGGCTGTCGCTGGCGCCCCCGCCGGCATGGACGGCGGTGCAGGCAGCCCCCTGGTGGAGCAGCTGGCAGTGGCCGTCTGGTCCACGGCGGCAGACATGCTGCAGCGAGGCATGCTGGCGCCGGAGGGGGGTGGCGAGGAGGGGTCCAGGCTGGAGGCTGCCACCGCCTGCCAGCGGGCACTGCAGCAGCTGGGACTGCCTGCCAGCGCGGCCCACGTGGGCGCTACGGCCGGGTGCGGCAAGCAAGGCCACGAGGAGGGCAGGGCAAAGAAGGAGAACAAGAGGGCAGGGATCGCGCAGCCCGGCGCCGGCGGCAGCGGCGGCTGCACGGCCGCGCCCGAGGCGGCGGCGGGCGCCGCGTCTGCCGACCTGCGCTTCCAGATGCGGCACTGCGGCCACCTGCTGCCGCGGGAGGCGCCACGCGACTGCGACCCTCGCGTGGAAAGTTTCAACCCAGACATCTGGCAGCGGCAGGTGTGTGCGCGCGTGTGTGCGTGTGTGCGTGCGTGTGCGTGTGTGTGTGTGTATGAGTGTGTAGGGTCGGGCGGCGCTGGGCGGCAGCGTGGGATGGGGCCCTCTGCCCCGCCTGCTGCCTGGCCCCTCAACACTGCGCGCACCCATCCCTGCCTGCCTGCCCGGCTGTTGTGTGTGTGCTCAGGTGCTGGATGCCATCGACGCCCGCTCCTCGGCGCTCATCGTGGCCCCCACCTCCAGCGGCAAGACCTTCATCAGCGCCTACTGCATCAACAGCGTGGTGCTGAGGGAGGACGACCCCGAGGGGCGCGTCGTGTTTGTGGCGCCTAACAGGGCGCTGGTCAACCAGGTGGCGGCGCAGGTGGGAGCCACCGCCTGCTGGGCCCTGCGCCGGCTGCTTGGCCCGGCTGCCCCTCCCTGCCAGCAGCTGTCCTGGGCGTGGTGGCTGGCTGCGGGGCTTGGCTGCAGGCGGCCAGCCACAAGTGCCCCACCCGGCCTCGCCCGCAGATGTACCGCGATTTCGAGTCGGTGGTGACCGGCGTGTTCACACGGGACTACATGTGGGCGCAGGCCTGCCGCGCCCGGCACCCGTCGCCCCTGTGCTGCCGCCTTGCTGGACCTGCAGGCGCCGCCCTCCGTTCTTTCCCTGGCAGCGCGATGCGGCAACAGCTGAGCTGGCAGCCAGGGCAAGGTCGTGACTGTGGTCCCGCCTGTGCCCTTCCCTGCAGGCACAAGGTGGAGAGCAGCCGCATTCTAGTGACCGTGCCCGCCTGCCTGGAGATCCTGCTGCTGGGCCCCACCAGCCAGGAGTGGGTGTCCAAGGTTCGCTATGTGGTCCTGGATGAGGTGAGCCGCCAGCCTGGCACGACTCAGCCGGCCGACGGCGTGCTGCCACGCGCGGCGGCGTGCTGCACGGGCCGGTGTCGCTGGCGCCGGTCCAAGGCTGCTTGCCACTCGTGGGCAGACTTTGGCAGGCTGAGGACCACAAGCTGGCCTGCTGCACCTCCTCAGCGCAGGTTCACTGTATGCGGGAAGTCAACCTGGGGGAGGGAGGCAGCCGGGACGGCACCGGCAGCACCTGGGAGCACATCCTGCTGCTGCTGCGCTGCCCCTTCCTGGCGCTGTCTGCCACCATTGGTGAGCGCCAGGCTGGCGGCTTGGACTGACCTGTGGTGCTGAAGCCCTGGTGGAAGCGCGCAGCTCTACACTTGCTGCATGCCGTTCCATCGACTCTTCACACCTGCACACACACACCGCCTGCCAGCCCACCACCCTCCCCCATCTGCAGGCAACCCTCGCGAGTTCTGCGACTGGCTGGCGTCGGTGAAGCAGCTGCAGGCGGAGCAGGATGCGGCGGCGGGCTGGGCCGCCGAGGGCCCCGGGCAGCACGACGTGCTGCTGATCACGCACAACAAGAGGTTCAACGACCTGCGCCTGCACACGTACTGCCCTGCAAGCCTGGAGGAGGGTGAGCAAGACAGCCCGGCCAGCTTCTGCATAGTGTGCGCTGCCTGTTCTGCAGTACGTTGCATGGGCTCCCTCCTGCAGCGCACAGCACCCATCCCACCCAGCTGCCGGACCCCTTGGCATGGCCCGCCCTGCCCTGCCCCCTGCAGACCACCAGCTGGGTGTGCTGGAGAGGGTGAAGAGCCTGGAGGGAGCGACGGCGGCGGGCAGCCACGGCGGCTCCGGCGCCGGCGCCGCCGGCGCTGCCGCCGGGCCGCCCTTTGGCTCCCTGCGGCGCATGAACCCGCTGGCCGTGCTGCGCGCCAGCGACCTCAGCCAGGCAAGGCGCCGGCAGTGCAGCGCATGCGCATTGAGCGCGGCCTTCTGCTGGCTGCCACCAAGGCCTCTCGCTGTCCACGCCGCCCCACCGGCCCGCCTGCCGCTCCCCCCTCCTCGGCGCCACCCCCGCAGGCCTTCCCGCCCGAGCTGTCCCTGGAGCCTGCTGATGTGGCGGAGCTGTACGATGGCATGCACCTGGCGGTACAGCGCCGCATGGAGGGCGCAGAGGGCGGCGCCGACGGCGCAGCCTGGGCCGAGCAGGTGGGCAGCCTGCAGCCCGCGCCTGGAGTGTGTGGGGGGCATGTGCGTTGGGGGCAGAGGTGATGCGTCATGCTTTGCCGGGGCTGCCGCCGGCCGAGTGCTGGTGTGTGCGGCGCCAAGGCAGCAACGCGTGGCCCCTCGCATCGCCCGACCCGCGATCGCTGCCCCGGCTGTGCCCTTCCTTGCGCAGGCCGCCGCTCGGCTGGCGGCGCTGGCGCCAGAGCGCTTCTTCGCTGCTGACGGCGGCGGCAGGAGCCCCTTCCTGACCCGCGACCAAGTGCGGCAGTATGAGGCGGCGCTGAAGCAGGAGCTGCTGCGCTGGGGCGGCGGCGGCGAGGGGGCGTGCCCCGCGGCCGTGGCCTCCGTGCTGGCCTCCATCGCCGCCAGCAGCTACCAGGAGGCGCCGCAGCACAACGCTCGCCTGCAGGTGGGCTGGGTGCGGCAGCCGCCAGAGCGCGCGCATGTGTGTACGTGTGCGTGTGCGTGTGCGTGTGCGTGTGCGTGCGTGTGTGTGTGTTGCGTGCGTGTGCGTGTGCGTGTGCGTGTGCGTGTGCGTGTGCGTGTGCGTGTGCGTGTGCGTGTGCGTGCGTGTGTGTGTGTTGCGTGCGTGTGCGTGTGCGTGTGCGTGTGCGTGTGCGTGTGCGTGTGCGTGTGCGTGTGCGTGTGCGTGTGCGTGTGCGTGTCGGAGGCTTCTCCCCAGCAAGCCGGTGCCCGCTGGTCTCCCGCCCCGCAGCACGGCGCCGCGCTGGTGGAGCTGCTGCTGGACCTGCTGGCCGCCGGCATGCTGCCCGCCCTGGTCTTCTCCTTTGAGCGCTCCACCTGCCACTACCTGGCGGAGGCGGTGGTGGAGTACTTGGAGGCAAGTGGCCCTGGGCGCCCGGGGCGGGGTGGTGGGGCTGGTGGGGCTGGTGGGGGCGGTGGCGGCGGCCTGACTGCCGCACGCGGGGCACGGGTGCGACAGCCTGGGCTGGAAGACTTTTGGGCTTGCGGCGCTGGGCCCGAGGGCCTGACGGGCGTGCCCCTGCGCCCTTCGTCCCGCTGCAGGCGTGTGAGGCCGAGGAGCGGCGGCGCAACGCCGACGTGTACGAGGCGCGGCGCAGGGCGGCGGAGCGTGCCGCCGAGAGCGCGCGGGCGGCGCGCGACAAGGCGCAGGACAAGCGGCGGCATGAGGGGGAGCCGCTGGGGGGCGAGGGCGATGGCGGCGCCGCCGCTTTTGACGAGGATGCCGTGCTGCCAGAGTTCAGCCTGGCAGGTGAGGGCCCTGCTCTGGGTGTGCTTGTGCTTGCCCGCAGGCGGCGCGTGGTGGTGGTGGTGGTGGTGGTGGTGGCGGCGAGCCAGCACGCCTCGCTTGCCCCGCGGCGCCTGCACGGCGCAGGCAGGCCCCCCCACCTGTCTGCGGGTGAGGTGGAAGAGCTGATCCAGGGCAACGTGGGGCGGGACATGAAGCCCAGCGACCCGCTGGTGAGCTGGCGCCAGCGGGGATGCCGCCGCCGCGCCCCGCCTGTGGCTTGCACTGGGCCGGGCAAGGGCAGCTGCCTGGCGCCAGCCAGCCACTGCGCCGCAGCTGGCGCGCCTGGCACAGCCTCCACAAGATGGGAGTCTCACCACTCGTGCCGATGGCTGGCCCCCACCCCCGCCCCGCCCCGCCCGCCCGGTGCGCAGGTGCAGGGCCTGCGGCGCGGCATCGGCATCCACCACGGCGGGCTGCCCAAGACGTACCGCCAGGTGGGGAGCCGGGGAGGGCGCGTGTGTGTGTGGGGGGAGGGGGTGCGGCAGAGCCAGCAGGCTGGCAGCGCAGCAGCAGGGGGGGTGCCCGCCCAGCTTCCACCCAGGCAGCCTGCCCGCCCGGCACCCATTGCCCACGCCACGCCCGCCCGCACGACAGTTGACCGCCCCTGGCTGCTGTGCCGCCTCGGCTGCCTGCCGTGCAGGTGGTTGAGATTCTGTTCAGGGCGGGGCACGTGAGGGTGAGTGCAGGCAGGGCGCTGCTGCGGTGGGATGCCGGCGGCCCCCACATGCCTTGGACCTGGAAGAGCAGCGGCGCGCCCTGCCACCCAGCTCGCCCTGCCCACCCCGCAACCACGCGGCACGCTCCTCAGCGCCACCGCATGAAGCCGCCCGGGTGCGGCCACCCCTCGCTGGCCGCCTCCCCGCCACCGCCCGCCACCGCAGGTGGTCATCGCCACCGGCACGCTGGCCTTTGGCATCAACATGCCCACCCGCACCGTGGTGTTTGCGGGGGACCACCTGTTTTTGTCGGCGCTGCAGTACCGCCAGATGGCGGGACGAGCGGGACGGCGCGGCTTCGACCTGCTGGGCTGTGTGGTGTACTTCGGCATCGGGGAGCGCAAGATCCGCAGCCTCATGGTAGGGGGTGGGGGGCAGCATGCGCCTGGCGCAGCCCCTCGTGTGCCTCGCCGCCCGCTTGTTTCAGCGGCTGCCCAGAGCCGCCATGCCTCCCCGGCAGCCCATCCTGACTGCTGCCGCTGCTGCCGCTTGCCGCGCCCCGCGCAGGTCTCCCCCGTGCCGCGCCTGCTGGGACACTTCCCCATCACCACCACCATGTGCCTGCGCGGCCTTGCCCTCCACTACGCCGCCGACTTTGCCGCGCCCGGCGGGCTGCCGGGCGGCAGGCTGCCGGGCGGCAGCAGGCGGGCGGGCGGCACGGCAGGCGAGGTGGCCCCCCGCGTGCGCGACGCGCTGGCCACCCTCTTCCGGCGCCCCTTCTACGCCGCGCAGGACCCCGCGCTGCTGCAGAAGATGCAGCACCTCTTCAGGTCTGGCGCCGCGCCACGCCCGCCTCGCCCCGCCACGCCGCGGCCTCCTCCCGAGCGCCCGGCGCGCCCGGCATGCCTCCCACCGTGCAGCTGCCTGGCCTCCTCCCTCTCCGGCCGCAGGTTTTCGGTGGAGTGGCTGGTGCGGGCGGGAGCCATCGACCTCGAGGGGCGCCCCATGGGTGAGGCCCGGCAGTGCGCTGGCAGGCAGGCAGCCGGCGGTGGCATGCCATGGGGGCCACCTGGGCTGCTGCTGCTGCTGCCTGTGTGCGCAGGCATGACGGGCATGCTGTGCCACCTCCACTGGACCGACCCCGCCAACCTGGCGCTGGCCTCTATCCTGAGCAGCGGAGCGCTGCACGACATCTGCAAGTGAGTGGGGGCGGGGGTGGGTGGGGTGGTTTTAGGGGTTTAGGGTTTAGGGTTTAGGGTAAAAAAAGTCAACTCCTGCGCGGCACCCTCCTTCGCATTTGGTGCGGGATTGGGTGGGATGCCTGCTGCGCCCCTCTCACCACCACCACCATGCCCTCCCGCCGCAGGGATGTCCGCCTGGACATGCCTGCAGACACGTTTGAGCCGGTGGCGGAGCAGCTGCTGCTCATACTGTGCCACCTTTTCGAGCGGCTGCCGCTGCACGCCGGCTCCGTGCGCGCCGCCGCCACCTACAGGGCATCGCCATCCAAGGCAATGCCGCGCTTGCAGCACCGCACTTGACCCTCTGGGGGCTTGCCCTGGCAGAGCCGACTCGTGGCCGGTGGCTCTCGCTTCGCTTCCTTCCTGTATGAGCTGGTCGTGCCCACCCCCTATGCAGGTGGTGCTGGAGCCGCTGCCGCCGGCAGTTCAGGCGGCCTTGGAGCAGCACAACAGCCACGCGCTGTGGCTCTTTGTGAACTACGTGCGCTGCTATGTGGGCAGCATGGGCCCGCAGCTGCCTCGGGAGCGGGCGCTGCCGCTGTCGGGCGTGAGCCTGCCCGTCAGGCCTGCCTCGGCCTCAGGTGACGCCCTGCCACACCAGTCCGCAGCGATTCCCTGCCCCACTGTCATGACCTGCCGCTGCTGCACAAGTGGTGGGCCCTCTCACGCACCAGCCCTGCGTGCAGGCGGCGCCACCTCAGCGCTTTGGGACAGCGGGGCGCAGGCGGCTGCTGGCCAGGGCTCCCTCTCGGAGCTGCTGGAGGCGCAGCGGGTGGAGTACCAGGTCGGTGCAGGCGCCTGGCTGGCAGCCACCTGGTGGGCCTGGGGCTGCATGGCCTTGGGCGCGTGATCGGTGCACGAGGGGTCCCACCCTGGCCGGCCGTTCCATGGAGGGAGCGCCACCCTGCCGGCTGCCCTGCCTGCTCTGCTCGTGATCCCGCAGGTGTGCTCGCCCTTTGCGGCCTTGTCTGGCCGCGGCGACTCCTTCCGCAGCATGGACGAGCTGGTGGTCAGCGTGCGCAGCGGGGTGCTGCTAGACATAGCCGCGGTGCCCTCGGTCTCCATGGTGGACCGGCACGGCCAGGTGGGTGCATGCTGCACGGCTGGAGGGGGTACGCGCCTGTGCTCCCTCCAGCCCGCAAGCTCACCTAGCAGAGCACTGCGTTGGCCCCCCTGCCCCCACCCCCGCAGGTGGTGCCCCTCAACCGCTACATTATAGCCAACAGTAGCCCACCCGTCCGCTCACAGAGAGCCATCGCGCCGGCCTCGCGCCGATCACCCCCACACCCCCACCCTCCACACTCACCCACCCACCCATCAGCATGTCAAGCAGCGAGGGAGCCAGCCTTGGGCAGCGCAGCCAGCAGCCGATCAGCAACCCGGCCTCCCGGGCATCCCTGCGGCCCGATTTCCCCCATATCGTGGTCAAGGGGCTCGCTCTGGAGGCCGGTGGGGGCCTGGGGGCCGCAGTCGCAGCCTTCGTTTTGTTTTGCCGGGCCAGCCTTCACCTGCCAGTGCCTGACTGTGTGCCTGTGACCTGCGTTGAGATTCGGGTGCGTGGGGACGGGCGCAGCGAATGCCACCTGCGACTGACTCCTGCCCTGTGCGGCGCCCTGAT